CCTTCCTTCATCTCTTCCTTTATTGCTTGTCTTGGCCGATACTTTGCTATGAAGGATTTAGGGGATTTACACTTCTTCCTGGGTGTCCAAGCTATTCGTCTTGCTAAGGGTCTCTTTTTATCCCAACAAAAATATGTGTCTGATCTCTTAACTCGATTTCATCTGTATACTCTTAAACCTGTTCGCACCCCTCTTCCATCTAGAACTAAATTATCTCTTACTGATGGTGAACTTCTTGCAGATCCTACGGAGTACAGAAGTATGGTAGGTGCTTTACAGTATTTGACCATGACTCGACCTGATATTACTTTTGTTGTTCACCTGGTCTCCCAATTTATGCATGCTCCTCGTACTTCACATATTTTGGCTGTTAAGCGCATTTATAGGTACCTTCAAGGCACTCCAGATCACGGACTACTACTTCAGCCAGATCGATCATCTCCCACTATTCAGGCTTATTCTGATGCTGATTGGGCCGGGTGTCCCGACTCTAGTCGGTCCACGTCTGGGTCCTAACTTAATCTCCTGGAAATCCAAGAAGCAGCCTACTGTTTCCCGCTCATCCACTGAAGTTGAATACAGGGCTATTGCTTACACTATCCAGGATAGACTACATATCCGATCCATTTTATTTGAGTTAGGAGTACCCATTCGCACGCCAGTTCGTTTGCTGTGTGACAATGTTTCGGCCTCTTATTTATCCACTAATCCGATTCAGCATGCACACAGCAAACACATCAGCACAGACTACCATTTTGTTCGAGAACGTATTTCGCATGGAGATTTGATCGTTCGTCATGTTCCTACACAGTTTCAGCTTGCGGATATCTTCACCAAGTGTCTCTCTCCGCAGCGGTTTATTTTTCTTAGAGACAATCTGCGCGTTGTTTCCCCTGCACAGATTGAGGGGGTGTAATAGAGTAATTATTATTTAGTAGTTTCCTTGTATTAGGATTCCTTTTATCTTATGTTTCCTAATGTACTCTAAACACTTCTCTATATAATATACACCCAGAGCTACCATATTGGATAAGTCATTCCATTATTCTCACATTTCTTGCTATTTGTAGTCCTTGATATCCATTGTATAATAGGATAAGAATTTAGATAGTTTAGATGATTATTTTGCAGATTGTAATTATATCCCTCTCAAGAATCTATAATGATATTTTCTGTTTGATGTTGAATAATGACATACTTCTTCCTATTCAATCTGATTTGATCAGGTTTGAACTGACACTACAAAAAAATTACGGGATTGACATGAAATTTGGCACAGATTTACCAATTTTTCGTGACAAATATCTCGTGTCAAAGTGTTTTTAACACGAATTTGGTATATCTCTACCAAAATCTCTTTCCAAATCTCTGCCACAATCAGGTTTTTTTGTAGTGTGAATATGTCCCATAAGTCTTAAGATTAATTTAATAGGAATGCTGCCTGCCGTGAGGGGTAAACTATGGAGATTCTAGCACTTCTATTTTGGCTTTATTGTAAAAAAACTCTAAAGTTGTTTAATTAAAAGATAAAATGCGCCGGAATGGCGAAATGTTATAAATATCGAATGAAACGCCACCGCCATAGTGGCCGCGCGATTTTTTTTGCGATGCTTACCACCGCCCTACCCACTCGCATCCATTAAAAAATATTTGACCGCCTAACCCACGTGCATAGAAAAGCGAAAAACATTAAAACTATACTTTATATATTTGACCGCCTACGTTAACTCGAGTAAAAATAATTTTAAATTATTAGTTTTACATTTATATTTAAATGTAAAAAGAGAAATTGTCACTTTACTAATATATACCCTCCCATCTTAAATCATCCTTTATTTCTAGGAATTTATGGATGTGTTATCAATTCGTGATCAAAAAGATGATGAGAAGTCTGATAAATATATAGCGAGATGACCGAAGAGAAGTCATTTAACTGTCTAGAAATGACTTCTCTCTAAAGCAATGTTCCTAAAACAATTATAGTAACAAATTTATAACGAGATAATGTAAGAAATTTAAATAGTGTACATATCAACTATTATTTGGTTACATCTCCCTTAAAAGAACATATAAGTGAGTTGGCCACCACACAAATGAACCTAAAGCATTTGCTACAACACACATATCACCAACTTCATTAGGATAAAACAAGAGACAATTTTCAAAATCTAGACATGTCATATATATGTTAGCTCTAATTGTGTTCTCTGACATTATAGATTACCTCTCAATACGCTTGTTGTAGGCTATTGCCGTGGCCACAAAATCAAAACCTTTTATCATCATGAAGAGTTTGTGACTCAAATACTCGCATACAAGTTACACCATCCTGCATGTATTTTCATTAAAAATGAAATAAAAAATAAAACACTTAGCTTGTTATGTAAAAAAATTGTTACTTAAAATACCTTTTAAGGGGTGGCTTGTTCAAGATGTAGAGCCCGTTTGGAGACCTCTTTTTTCGGCTTATCAGGCTTATCAGTCAGTTTTTTCATCAAACACGTAACTTTACTTTCGTGTGCTGAATTGTGTAATAAGCAGAAAAAGTAAGGTTGAAGTTACTTTTCTGACTGTATTGGCTGAAGTTACTGGAGAGGACCATTTTAGCTATTTTTACATGTAATTTTTTCTTTAATTTATTAATAAAATATATTTTTAAAATATTTTTTTCTTGAATCAGCAGAATCAGCCAAAACAGTCACTTCAGCTAGACCTTCATAAATTTCAACAGAATCAACCAAACAAGCCGATTTTCATGCTACCAAACGGGCTCGTAGAATGTCAAAGTTTGATATTTGAAAAAAAAAATCAATATTGTAAATTATATGGAGTATTAGGGAATGTGTAACTGTGTGTGTGCATACACACACATGGGGAGGGTCCCAATCAATACAAAGAGTCTTCTCATGCAAACTGAAATAATCTTGTGCATTTATTTTCAGATCTAATAGCTCAAAATGAGCCAAAAATGCACCAAACTTGATAAAAAATGCAGTGGCAATTTCGTAAATAAATCGGAGTTTTCTGCCACCGTGAAAAGTGCAACAGAAACATAAAATAGTGCAATGCGTTGAGGGAAAAGTGCAATTGTTTGCATTTTGCACGAGAACACCTCTTTTTATTTGAACTCTTCCACACACACACACACACACACACACACATATATATATATATATATATATATATATATATATATATATATATATATATATATATATATATATATATAGGGTCGGGTTCTAATGAGAAGACATCTTAACGTGAGAAATGAGAAGTTACACATTTACATATTTCTGATGCACTTTTTTGCTAATCTGATGCACTTTTTGCAATGGCAGAAAAGTTCCGATTAATTACGGAAATGCCACCGCGTCTAGCATCACTTTTTAAATATTTTTTGCACTTTCCCGTGCACTTTTTTGCTGATCTGATGCACAGATCTTAAATTGAACGCACCAGATGCATTCTCACTTCTTACGATAAGCACTCTTCTCATTTGATCCTTATTCTATATATATATATATATATATATATATATATATATATATATATATATATATATATATATATATATATATATATATATATATATATATATATATATATATATATATATATATATATATATATATATATATATATATATATAAAAGAGATCAAATACAAACCATGCTTAAAATACTAACCTACAAACTCAACAATATGCATCACTTTGAAGTTCAATATGCAGTAAAAATAATGTAAAGATGCACTCTTTGAATTTCAATATGCAATACAAATAATGTAAATATGAAAATGCTATTTTATGGCTTGAATAATATGAAACACTTTGAACTCCAATGGGTAATACAACACTTTGAACTTCAATTGGAGTTATTATTGTCGAAATAGTTGCAGTACTAGATATTAATATAATAGTATTTACCCTTACTTTTACTTTTTCCCCATTAATTTAAAGGCATCTACTTTTAGAAAGATGGACAAAAGTGTAAAAAACAAATATCATTTATTGTCATTTCTTAATCCTTGTGCCGGTCAAAGTTTGCAATTCAATTCGGGACGAAGGAAGTATTATTAATGATATTTACCGATGCCGAAAAATGTATATGTTCGAAATAGTTGAACATATACATTTACTATTATAGTTGCTAGACTGATGAGGTCACATTTTTGTAAGTAACGTTTATAGACATCTATAAAAAGAGAAAAGTTCTTATTGTACATGCCGGGTTACATGTTTTTTTTTGTATATGCTTCTTAATAGTTTGCATATACCGACAATTCGAAAAAAATTAAAATTCTATTAGAGAATGCGTATAGAATTGTTTGTGTAGTGCATAAAATTGACATGTATACGCGAAAACGTGTAAACCGACCGATAAAGTAAAAGAAATGGAGGAAGATGTTAGATACACTGACGGAGCCAGAAAAACGTGTGAGAAAGGTCGAAATTTAATTATATACAGTATCAAAATGATGAATCGTCGTTAAACAATACTTAAGTTAAATGTTTCATATGTAGTTAAATGTTATTGTATTGATACATATGCAATGTACTATAATGTTCACACAACTAATGAGTGAATAAGTTGCTTTATTTTTAAATTTAAGTATATAATCAATAACACACATCAAATTTTACTCATTTGTAGTTAAGATGATGCTAATCTTTCTAGAATTCAAAATTTTTTATTCATAATGAATTACGTAGTCCATAATATAACAAATAGAAAAAATTTCAGAACTCTATATATACTCCAACTTTCATGGGATTAAATATGCACTATAATGATGATATAAGAGGGCAGACGGATGTATATGGGTATCAGGCCCGTATCATGCATCCTTTATGGTGTTGCCCATTGTAATTTGCCAACAGGCCGGGAGTATTATTGTTCAATGTTAAAGAAAAACTATCAAAATTTGGAAAATACTTGTAAAATGTGGGGCCAGGCCCACCACTATATTAAGGCACCGCTTGCCAGTTTGAATTGCATTCCGGTCATGACCGAACCAGTTGGGTTCTCCAACCACCGTCATCACAATGGCTTCTCCAACCACCGCCGGGAAAGCATTCACAGCCTTCTACCACGGCTGGCTTCTCAATCAAGAACCAATCTTTCATCAGCTTGAGTCCTCCTCCTCCTCTGTTTCCGCCGCCGTCAATGATGAGCATTGCAGTGCTTTGGTGGCAGCGGTTATGGATCACTACCAAGAATACTACACGGAGAAGAAGAAAGCAGCTGAAGAGGATGTTTTCGTGTTCTTCTCTTCCCCCTGGCTTAGCTCCTTCGAGCAATCTTTCCTCTGGCTCTCGGGGTTGAAGCCGTCGACTCTGTTCTCGGCCGTCGACGGCGGAATGCTGTCGGAGGAGCAGTCTTGTAAAATGGAAATGCTGAGGACGGAGACTGTGAAAGTGGAGGGGGTCATCTGTAACGCCATGGCGTCGGTTCAGGAGACCGTGGCGGCGGCGCCCGTAGTGGGGCTGCTGAAGACAGAGGCGGCGGGGACGGTTATAAACGGGGGGAATTGCAGCGCCGCCTTGGAGAGTCTGAAGCTGTCGGTGGGGAGAGTGATGGGGAGCGCCGACGACGTTCTCGCCTCGACGGCATTGAAAATCCTGGAAATTCTTGAGCCCAAACAAGCCGTCAAGTTCCTGACGGCCGTGATGAAGTTTCAACGCGAGGTCAGGCGGTGGGGTCTGTACAAGGATTCGCAGCGTGTGTGAAGTTTCCTAACGGCCGTTAGCTTACTATACAATTTGTTGTATTCCGTCAGTGGGCTCTCTCCCCTTTTCTTTTAATACGTACGATTGTACGAAGTAGTATAGTACGGAGTATATACGCAATGTTGCGGCAATAATAATATCCCAATTCCCAAATGTTACAGAAATAGAACGTTTAAAATGAAAAATAATGTCGGTCCGTTTAAAAAACGCGTACTGTTTTTTTGAACAAAAAACACGTCAAAAATGAAAAATAATGTCGGTCCGTTTAAAAAGGAAAAAAACTTCTACTTCCCGTATTAAACGTATTTTTCCCGTATTTTACTAAAAATAGAAACATGAATTGATCAATTGAATGAACGCATTAAATGTATATGAGATCAACAATAGTGTAAAACCAAAGGACAAAAGCTCCTCTTTGTGACCCAATGTTTTTGTATTGTTACAATACAATTATTAAATATTAAAATTAATTGCATGATGACTTAAGCTTGCATCTCTTAATTTACAAAAAATAAAAACACGAATTGATGAATTGAATGAACACATTAAATGATCAACAATAATTTAAAAGAAAAAAAGAAAAGCTTATCCATGCGACCTCATGTTTTTGTATTGTTAAAATACAATTATTAAATACTAAAATTAATTGCATTGCGGCTAAAGTTAACATTCTTAGACTAAACTTAAAATACTACAGAGAACTAGATTTCTGATGTTTTTTCAAACAAGCATATCAAAGTTAAAGTTTTTCTGAACCTGACATTTTTTTAGTATAAACTTTTACACATAAACAATATGTCATCTGTCATCTTGATGAAAATGATGAATTTAAATTGAGTGTTATTTGATGATCATATAAAGATAATCACCTTAACTTAGTCTCAATCTATTTTTTTATGTCTTATTTGTTGACTTTAGTTTACAAAATCATGTTTTGGACTTAATTACTATTTTTATTTTTGTCATCGACTTATGCAATTACGAATTATTTCTTTTTACTATGTTCTTTTGTAAAGTATATAATTTAAATGTTCAAAATAGTACCCGTATTTTTTGTCCGAATTTTTGTAACAGGTATCGTGTTATACTCGTATACGTATTTACACGTTTTTTAAAAGTCAACGTTTCTTAAACCTCGTTTAATTCTTGTTTAAACTTTTTTTATACGGTACATATTAAACCTCGTTTAATTCCTGTACCGTATTTAATTAACTATGGTTTAAACAATGTTTAAACGGATCAACTTTAATTGTTAGTTACTAATCAACTCGAAACAGAGAAAGGTATGTGCCATGCAGAGTCATTTGAACAGACGATTCAATATTTATATTTTAGAGTCAAGGGGAGCGGATAGAATTATACTCGTATTTGGATAGTCAATATTCTAGCATAAATATTAAATCATTGACAATGTTTGTGTTTCCTTACTTAGTTTGTATAGTGAACAACTTATTAGCGCATACACCGGGCTGTTCTGACTTATCAAAGGCCCTAAAGCATAGCTCCTTTTTATATCTTTAATGCTTTTGTCTTCTTACATTTTCTAGTGTAAAAGGCATAGTAAAATGGGAAATTATCACAAATAGGCTAAAATTGAAAATAATATTACTTTTTTTCACTTTTTAAAATTGTTTTCAAAAATAGACCAAGTAAAGTTTCCTTCATTAATAGACTTCCTATGGTGAGCTCTAGTTGTTTGCATCTTTACTTTTTAAAAGTGCAGTTTGGTTGCTAAAAGGAAAGTGCACTCATGCCACGTTTTTTTGGAAGATCTCATGCCACGTTAATAAGCAAACTTGTTATCTCCAAATTTAATCTTAAAAGAATATAGTATAAAATTAAAATAAAATAAAATATTTTTCAAAAAATTCAAAATATGAAAATAATTATTTTTTTAAAAAAGAATCAAAAGTCTAAAAATAAAAATACAAAAATTATTCTAAAAAACAAATAAAAAATCATAAAATTACGTATGAAGGATAGAATGAAAATTAAAATAAAAAATGAAGGAATTATCAGAAAACTTCAAAAAACTAAAAAATGTGTTAACTGGGTTTCTTTTAAACCTCTCAAAAATACGAATTTGAAAATTTTAAGATAAAAAATGCATAAATTCGTTTAAACTAAAAACAATTGTAACAAAAATTAAAGAATATGAATTCTGAGGTTTAAAAAACATTAAAAAAAATCAAATTAATACATATAGTTTGAACACGCCTAAAAAATTCAAAATTAGTGTAAAAAAGAAAATAAAAATAGAAAATAAGATTCCTTGAACGAAAAAACAGAAAACTAGATTAAATTAAAAGGCATGTAAAATCTAAAAACCATGAACACATAAAATATTTTTATTATATTATTATCACTTAATTGTTACTTTTGTGCATGTTGTTTCTTTGTGTTTCTATTTGTTGATTACTTTAATTATTTTTGTTTTTTATTGTTTCTTCATATATTTTTTTGTTTATTCATAAATCCAATTTTATGATTTCAGGTGTTCTTGTATATAGCTAAATATGTTTTTTATTCCAAATCACTAACGAATATAATGTCAATGTAAATAGAAAAAAATGAAAATCAATAATAAAGAACAATAAACAACACGATACAACAAAATGCAACACGGTGCAACAAATGTAACAAGATACAACAAAAAGCAACACACCCGATGCAACAAAGAGAAACAAAAAGCAACATATAAAATTATCACAAAATATGTATAGTTCAATCTATTATTACAATTCATTACATTTATCTATGACATTTATGGCTTTTGATTCTCCTCACTTCTTATTCCTTTTATGTTGGTCACACAATTTATTAGATTTTCCCACTTTGTCTTCATTTTTCCTTGTCAAACTTTCTCATCCTTACATTTGCATGTACGTTTTTATTGCGTGCCTGCAATAGGGATGCAATCACTATGACACAAATACCGAATTGAATAAATTATTACAACAAACCAATAAACCTATATAACAGAAGCAGAAAAAAATCCAATATGTCATAAAGAACAATTAGCAACACGATACAACAAAATGCAACCCGGTGCAACAAAATGTAACAAGATGCAACAAAAAGCAACACAACCGATGCAACAAAGAGAAACAAAAAGCAACATATAAAATTATCACAAAATATGTATAATTCAATCTATTATTACAATTCATTACATTTATCTATGACATCTATGGCTTTTGATTCTCCTAACTTCTTATTCCTTTTATGTTGCTCACACAATTTATCAGATTTGTCCACTTTGTCTTCATTTTTCCTTGTCAAACTTTCTCATCCTTATATTTACATGTACGTTTTTATTACGTGCCTGCAATAGGGAATGCAATCACTATGACACAAATACCGAATTGAATAAATTATTACAACAAACCAATAAACCTATATAGCAGAAGTAGAAAAAACATCCAAATCGTTGACATTCATATCAATATCAAAATAAAGCCTACATCTTTGGCAACACAATCATACACAATCTAAATTTACTTATACCAGAATAATCTGTGAGCATCTTAAATACTTGTAAAGTCAGAAAAGACCACTTTCAAATGAAGAAGAACAATGCAACAAAGGAAGCAGATTAACCGTATCAAAAGAAGCTGATCTTCTATTTGTGGTAGGTTTCTGAACCTCAATTTTCAACATGCAAGAGACAGAGAAAAAATCGGTCTAATTTACATAGTTAAACAAAAGGTGTAGTGAAGTGAAAAAAGCTATAGCTACATTTGAAAATATCATATAAAGTTAAATCTAAGAAGAAATACACGATAATTGAACTTACATTAGGACTTAATACTAGATTCCATCACGCATGAACAGTACTGCAAATACGAATCTGCGATCTAGATCTAAACGCAATATGTTATAAACAACGCAATAAATCCAAGTCAAAATGAAGATATAGTGATCAAATACACACCAGAGCAGCAAAACAAGCAGGGCGGAGGGCAGAGGCCGAAGGGCGGAGGGCGGAGGGCGGAGGGCGGAGGCCGAAGGGCGGAGCCGGAGAGCACAAGGCGGAAGGCGGAAGGCGGAGACCGAAGAGCCAAAGCGAGGTCATGAGGATGGAGGAAGAGAGAGGAGCCGCACTGCTAGTCATCGACGATCATTATTCTGGGCTGGGGCAGTGATTTAGGATTTAGGTTATTTTTGAAATAAAAAGTTGTAAGTGAAAATATGAAAGTTATAATTGAAAAGAAAAAATTCTGGTGCCATAAACGAAATATGATGGGCGAAATGGCTCATCCAGGTAATTACCACGATTTTAAATTGTACCCGCTTTTAAAATATTACCTACTTTTCCTTTTTGGGAATTTTTCACAAACATACCAAAAATGAAAGTAATATCACTTTTTTTGCTTTTTCAAAATTTTTTCAAAAATAGACTAAAAAGAAGTTCCTTTTCAAAAATGGACCTTGACTACTAACTACTAAGCCTTACTTTAACAAGCACACGATGTGAGGTTCCACCTATGCCATCTTGGATAAACTTACGGAGTACAAACTTTCTTAATTATTGTTCTTAAATAGAAAGGAATTCTTGTTTTTAAATAGAAAATAATATGAAAGTTAGAAAATTGTAAAAAAAAGAGAGAATTTAAAAACAAATCTAATTTCTAAAACTATATTAAAAGTAAGAAAAACAAATGAAAAATTCATTACAAAAAATTAAAGTTAGAATTTGTAAATTAAATTTAGAAAGTTAAAGACAATGAATTTAAGTTTCAAAAAAATCATAAAAAGTATAGAAAATTTAAATATAATAAACACAATAACAAATATATAAAAGTTAAAAATAGTTTAAAAAATTACAAAAAATGTAAAAATTAGATAAAAATGTTTTAGAACTACTAAAAGTATGAAATGTAATTATAATTTTTATGAAAGTATGTATTATTTAAGATGGAATAATGCCATAGTAAGAACTCTATAAAATCCAAATGTCTATATAATTTTAAAATATTAAAAAAATCTAGAACAATATGTAAAGTACAACAAAATAGAAAAATATAATTCATAAATTTGAAAACAATATGAGAAAAGCAATTATAAAAAGTGTATAATATTGAAAACTAGAAAATTTAAAAAAAAAATGAAGACTTAAAATGTTGAACATGTGAAAAATTAAAATTTAAAAATTGTAGATTTTAATTTTTAATTCAATAATTCTTAAATATTTTAAA